GATATCCATGGAATACGTTCTTGATGGGAGCGAGCTTTCCGGTATGGCATGTGTTGAATCGTGTTATTAGCATCGAAATAAATCATCATGTCCAGGAATTCGTGGTGTGAGGGACTCGCTTCCCATTCTATCTTACAGCCGTCGAACTGAACCGTTTTAACCAACGCTAATGCCTCAGATTCGGAATTAGCGTAAACGATAGCAAGACAGTCGTCTATGTACCTTCCATAGAAAGGTACAGCGGCGGTTAATTCTAGTTGTCTCTCGAAAAACCAGCCATATAGGTTGGCAAGATCGGGAGAATCCGCAACGCCCATTGCCAGGCCGTTGCGTTGTTCAAAGAATAAGTCATTATACTGTAAGACCAGGTTTTTATTGCCGACAGAAAGACACTTGAGGAAGATCATCTCACGTAGAAGTTTCTCCTCGTCGTTTTCTGTTCCAAAATACTCTCCGTACAAGTGAGTAATCACATTGAGACATTTCTGGATAGGAATATTCGGATAGAATGCGACAACGTCGCCCGTAACTATAAACATTTTACGGGATCTATCGACCTTAACCTGACTCAATTTTTTCGCCAAGTCTTTGGAACCATGTAAAATGGTTGGCGCCGATTTAACAATCGGTTTGAGAATTTTTGACACATATTTAGCTGCCGGATTTTGGATGGCGGAGTGGCATGGTATAATTGGCCGCATTTTTACGGGTTCCTTATGTATTTTGGGAATCCCGTAGAATGTCGGCACCACGTGTTGGGCTCCTGGCGAAGTGATCTTCGACCGGAAATATTTCCCTAGTTGTAATCCGTTAGGAAGGTGCGCTTCAGCTAAGCACGCAATTTCTTCCATGTCTGTGCATTGTTTATCGCATATCGCATTAATCATTAATAAATGTAACGGTGTGTAATTAGTACTATCGTTTACGATATCGAGCGATTTCTCTATAATCCATTGGCGCGTGGATACAGCTATTCCCAGGTTCTTATCAGTGTTCGTAACCAAGTAATTGTTACGATCTAAGAAGGACTTGATCTGGCTCGGTTTTGGAGCTAGCGCCGATTTAATGGGCTCCTCCGATTCTGCAGGGATATTGGCGATCGTGTCAAACACGAAGCGCTCGCCCGCTGCAATGCCAGCTTCAATATACTGTGGCGACCTCGGTGCTCTAACATTACGTTGTTGAGGGATATCGAAGTCTGGATCATAGAGATCATCGTCTGAGTTGTTCTTAGTAAAGCTAAAGTATAGCCTCCATCGGAGACGTTCTTTAAAGTCTTCCCACGCAGATTTAATTAAATCACAATTTCGGGGGGTATAAAACATATATTTCATACCTACTGAGAGCTGAAGCTCAATTTCTTTGGGAATGGTTACTCCCGGTGACTTATGTACAGAGTTACGAAACTGAGAAGCCGTTATAATATTAACGGGCGTATGTAAATGTACAAAATTAATAGCTACCGGTAAAGGGACTGTAAGCAGCCAGTCAGGGTAAGTAGCGGGTATGTCATACCTTATATTAGAGCGGCCATATGCGCGGCCCGCCTCTACGCTCTCCCCTTTCCTTTCCCAGCCGAGTTCGGTGTATTCTTCTTCGGCTTGCCAGACCCCCCGCCCTTGGTGGCGTCCGGTACTCGTCGGCGCCCGCGGGGTATATATCGTGGTGGAGGTGGATGCTCCGACCCGGTCTTTATGGCTTTGCTCGTCGAACTGCTCTTCTTCTTGCCACCCTGTACCTGTTTCTAAGTACGATGTCAGTGAGCGTTTACAAGAGGGATAGGGGAGGGTAATTACCACACTCCTACGGCCCGGCTTGTGTCCGAGTTGCTTGACTCGCGCGGCGACTGCTTTGTCGACCATGGATTGAATCGATGGTCCAGCTCGAGTGGCGTCAGCCATCTCGACGTCGGCGGCCTTTTTGATTGCCTTCTTTCGGTCGAGTTTTGCCGATGCGGTGTACTGGGCCATTTCAACGATAGAGATGACCCGGAAGGCGTATACCACCACATCGGCCAGCAAGTTCTTGCATTCCGCGACCTTTTGTGAGTCCTGGACCCACTCTAACCCCGCAACCTTGTTGTCAGCCGTGAACTTGATATTCGCCACTCGGCGGTTATGCAATACTCGTTGGCCACGGTCGATAACAAGCGGCGAAAGCCGCTTGTACAACTCTTCGGGGGTCAATGCCGCTTCCAGAAAAGCTATGTCGTCCCGCTTGGCCTTTATAGCAGACTCAAGCAGGCCGTCCAAGTACGCTTTATGGGCGTCGAGGAGAGCTTGGCGTTGGGCAGAGCCCTCAGCACTGGAACCGAAATCCGATGTCATCTGGATTTCGGGCGCCTGCCGAAACAGGTGCGCGGGCATGGTACCGGCCTTTTTATGGGCCTCCCACTTTGACAAAGTGGTCCGCGCCGAGCACAGCTTGTTAGCCGTGCTGGCAATGCCACGAAGTGGCTCGCGGAGTACCTCGACGAAGTCCCCTGGGACGAGGTCGATCAGCGCGTCAACCGTGCGAGCGCCTTGAAGGGCACTGCGCCTGGCGACTGCTGCGTGGTCCGAACTAATATCGAGACCGCCGGCGGTGCTAAACACGTCGGGTACGGGGGAGAGGGCACGGGCTACTACGGAGGCGATGGAAGACATGCTGTATAGTACGAGTAGACTACACCGTCATAGCAAGGAGTAAGTATCATGTAGATAGGGTTAGGGTTAGGGTTAGGGTTAGGATGGTGTACCCCCTTCGGCGAAGCCGTTGGGGGTACACAATATGAGTGAATGTACTCACCTCAAAAGTTTTGAGGGTTGTTTGAGTGCTGATATAGCGAATCAAGGTCCAACAGAGGGATGGGGTCACCATCTCTCACCCTGTTTCGCTTTTATAGCTCTTCAGGGACCTGATTCATAAGCAGATGACGCAAATGAGAGGTTTTGGCGGACCAATCATTTTCGCTTTATCAGCAATCACGCAATCCGCAGCACAAATGAGGTGGTGCGGTTAGTAATTAAGGTACGAAATCGTACCATTTATTATTCATACTTACTTACTCAGCGGCTT